TCCCTCCATCCATCCCTCCATCCATCCCTCCATCCATCCCTCCCTCCTTCCCTCCCTCCTTCCCTCCCGCCCGCCGGTTTGCGCGGTTACCGGCGTGGGTTGCATCGCGTCACAGCTTCCACTGGTGCCGGTTACCTGGTGGGGACATTGGGTGGCACCATGAAAAGGGAGTTTTTTCGCGGCGTCCCCCCAAGTCTGGGCTGATCACCCGCGGCCAGGTGCGCGGAGGGGCTGCGGGAGCGGCAGGCGCGTCCCTGCTGCGGGCGGGCAGCGCCAGGGCTGGCGCTGGTGTCCGGGGGCTCGCCGGTGCCCCGGTGTCGGCCGGGGTGGGGCTGGTTGTTGTTCTTCGTGGCTAGAGTCGTATTGTGGTTTGGAGTCAGCATGGGATTTGGTATGAGAAGAAAGTTGGTAATATACTGATGGTTTTGCTCGTTGCTGAGAACTCGAGGACCTTTTGACTTCCCGTGCTTTGCTAGTGTGCAGGTGCACAAGGTGAAGCTGACCCAGACTGACCCAGGGGATATTCCATACCAGAGCATGTCATGCTCAGCGTATGAAGCTGGAGGAAGAAGAGAGGGGGACATTTGGAGTGATGGTCTTCCCAAGTAACCCTTTTGCTTGATGGAGCCCTGCTGTCCTGGAGATGGCTGAACCCCTACCTGCCAAGGGGAACTAGTACATTAATTCCTTGTTTTTCTTTGCTTCCACGCGCAGCTTTTGCTTTACCTATTAAACTGTCCTTATCAACCCACAAATTTTCTTACTTCTACCCTTCCAACTCTCTCCCACGTCCCACTGGACGGGAGTGAGTGAGTGAGTTGCTTGGTGCTTCGTTGTTGGCTGGGGTTAAACCGTAGGACAGTTGTCCAAATGGGACTTTGCAAGCCCTGAACAGCAGCGCTGTGGAAAATGAGAAATGTGGTCAGTGGAGCACGGGGCAGGTTCCTGAGTCGCAGTATGGAATTCTGAGCTCTGCCACTGTATCACAGCTCTTTGAAAACAACGCAGCACCAGAACAAAACAGCTTGGTTGTTTATGATACCAAAGGACTGATCCAGCGTGAAATAGATGAATCTTCAGAATTTTGGTTTTTCAAGAAAGTAAATATAA